TTTTTTTCTGATGTATGGTAAAAAATTGAACAAAAAAAAAATTTAATAGAACAATAAATGTACCGCAATATATATGTGTATATATCAAACAGCTATTTTTTGACTACTTTTCCGTTCACTTAGTCTTGACATTTATTCAAATTACTAAATGCATTTTTCCTTTCTTCTCCACTGAAATTCCATTCTTTCTTCTTTTTCCTTTTCAACTAAAAACTGCTATACATTTACTCAACATATCACATGTTACTGCATTAATTTAGCATAAATCACAAGAATTCTTCAGGGTCCAGATCTGGTGGAAACAAATAGTCGTTTGATTCATAACGGTGAAGTATCGTGTAGATGTGTGGTTGATGGCAGTACTGTGTGGCAAAAAGATGCACAACTGTTTCTGTTTGATCAGTCGTTGATAATCTGTAAAAAAGATTTGATCAAAAAAAATCATTACATATTTCGTGATCGTATTACGCTTAATTCGGCTACATTTATTGACTGCAAAGATGGAAAAGGTATGAATTTTATTCAAGAAAACAGGAAAAAATATGTTAAAGGATTTTATGATTGTCGCCAAGCTCAAAGAAAAGAAAAATTCTATGACATTTGATGGAAAAAGTGAAGAGAAAGGGAGGAAGTTGCGGGCGGGTAGGGGGGGAGGAGTAAAGAAGGAGAAGGAACAAAATGATAAAAGAAGTCTCTCAAAAGATGAAGGAAAAAAAATTTGTGAATAATTGCAATCTAAGTTTTCATTTTCTTTTATTTTCTTTATAACTGTTTCTTATTTGTCTTCTTAGTTTGTCCAATTCCCATTTCCCTTCTTCGGTTCCAACCTCTACCGCTCCCTTTGATATCCTCAAAATTTTCATTTCCTTTTTGTATCTATGAGATGGCATTTTTTTGCGCTGTCATTTCTTCTAGATTATGGCAATGAAAAAAGGCATCTGGTTAGCATAAATTGTTTTTGTTTAAAAGTTATTCTAGTTAGCTGAAAACTGGAAAACATTATAATATATGCAAAAAGGAAAAAAGTGAACTTTTCTTTTTTTTTATGAAATTTGTTTTCCAGAATTGACGATGAAACATTATATTGATGGATTAAAAATTAACATCTTTCCGATTAAGTCAGAAAAAGAAAGAAAAAATGAGATGATAAAAAGCAAATAAAACAATAAAAGCCTGGAAAAAATGAGGAATGTTGTCATAATTACAATAAGAAATTATTATAAATTTTATTGTATGCTTTTTTATGGCCAGTATCCTTCTGAATCAATCAGATACTGTTCTATGCAACATCGCGGTTTTGAGATCACAGGAAGAGGAGGAGTGCGGGTTGGGATTGCATAATAAAATCTGGGCAAAAATTGGATAGGCAGAAACAAAAAACTTTGCCAACAGAATAATTTGGGTTTTTCTTGTCTCATCTTTTCGTTGTCTAATCACTTTTACTTCTCTATCAATTCTGAAAACTTTACCTTTTTATCAAGACGAAACTGGGATGACATTTATTCACCCACGCAAAAATATCAAAGATATAAATAAATAAATGAAATTATATAAAGCTAACAAAAAAAGAAAAAAAAGGGAAAAATAAAATTAATTTTCACATATTATATTCGATTAGACGTTATGCTATGCCTTTTTTTTGTAAAAAAATTGACAGCATTTATGATCTATTTATTTTCGTTCTTTTTTACTCTTATTTTTTTTTGCTAATATTTTTTTGTATAGGAGACTTTACAGTATTCTATTTGCTGAAAAACAGTTCAACAGACTGTTTGATATTTTTGGATACACATTGGCAGTGTTTAAACCGTACAAGTCAATATCTATCTATTTGTTGTTGTTTTTTTAGATGCACTATTAGGCGCAACTTTGAAAAACACTTGGAAATTGGTGCTGACAGGTAGGGAATTGTATTTTTCATGTCGTGACCGCGAAGCTAAACGGCAATGGACGGAACATTTTCGACGGCGGATTGCCAGTTGTCCACCGACACCCGAAGAAAGACGGCTTGTACGTGATACACTTTCACGAGCCTATCGTAAGTGTTCCATGAATCACTTTAGCTGAAAGAGTTGGCTATTTGTTAGTAGCTTTTTGTCTATTTCAATGCTATCCAGTTGCTTGATATCGTCCAAAACTAAAGGTTTATCTGGATTAAGTATTGATTGAAAATTTCCGATGTAATTACTCTATCTTTCATTGTTCTTTTTTTTTCAGAAGGCAAACTAGAATCTTATGCATTGAATGATGGAAAATTAGGGAGCCGTTTTAGCAGAAAGAAGAGCCGAAAATGGTCATAGGTCTGTTGAACGTCTAGCATTGTCGCCACAAACACATCAGAAAAAAGGGAATCTGAATAACTTGATGAACACGTTTTTATAGTTTTACGTGTATTTTAGGGAAAAGAACAATATTGAGCCAGAAAAAAGAACGAAGTAAAAGAAGTGAAAAATTAGTGTTGTAGATCCCAAAATGAACTATCATTGTTTTAACTTGTCCATCGCTTTTCTATTCAGCTTTTCCTTTTGTCACTATCTCAATTGTTCCCAATTTTTTCTTGTGCAGATTTAGTTTTGTTGCTTTCTTTAAAATGTTTCTGATGCTCAAGATGATTTTGCAGTGATAGCTTATAATTTTCAGATTTGGGCTGAGTTGCTTAGTTTTCCAAAAGTTACAAGGTTTTTTTTGCATATATTTAGAAAGATTTTTCTTCCAAAATAATACCATCGTATACACAGCATAACACATACATATCAGGTTAAGTGTGTAACACGAGGTTTTTACTAGTTAGGTTCTATATCGTTCTTCTTTTTTTCCTTTTTCTTTACTTTATTGTCGTCATCATTCTCTTTCTTTTTTTCTTCCCGTTTTTCCTCTTCTTATTTCACTTTTCCTATTTTTCGGTTTTGTATTATAGAGATTTCAGAGGTTTCAGTGCAGATGCGTGACTGTAAGCAATTGGCAGCAGATCTGAGAATAATTGTAGTAAAAAAGAAAATTGATGGTCACAAACAGGTCAACAGATTAGGATTTGCAGTGAATTGAAGCTTTGCCTTCTTTTCTTCGGTTTATTAAAAAATTTAAATGCATCTGGAGAAACAAAATGTTTATCTGTTCGCGTCTTGGTTTTTTTCTTTTTTTTGTTTTCTCGCTGACAGTTATGATGCAGTTCATTTCTTTTGGTGACACAGGAAGATATGAATTTTTATTTGCATCTTTTTGTTCTTCTCTTTGCTTGTCATTTGTTCTCTTATCAGTTTATGTTTACGATTTTTAAAGAATTAAGTAAAAAAAAAACAGTTGGAAAAAAAAACGTATTTATTGATGTGAACTATGAGCACGGTTATGTATGGTCGGTAGTGTTTCTCATCTAATTAGCTTGCATTATTAGACTAACTTTTTCTGCATAATTTCTTTGTTGATGCGTAAAATAGGAAATATTCTGATTTTGTAGTTGACGGATGAGCAGTGTTAGGAATCAGTGTTGATAAACGAATAGTTCGGGTGGTCTTTGTGGGTAGGATGGTGTTGAAAAGCAGAGGTTACAGTTGTTACATTAACCGATCAAGACTGCTCCGTTGCATTTGAATGGAAATTGAAAGATGCAAAAAAAAATGAAAACAGTTTCAGTTAGTGGAAGTTTTTTTTTTTTCTTTGTTGAAATAACTGAGGAAGATGAGAGGCAAAAGCAAATAAGTTGTGGGGAATAGATTTAGAAAGATGAAATCACCACTGATAACTGTATGCAGCAGCAGTTTGTATGGTTACCTCAGTGGAGACAATATGTTTCCTTGTTTTTCCCCACTACTTTTTGATTTGGCTTCTTTTTTTCTACTCTGTAATTAAATTGTAAAATAAAATTGCTAAAAAATGGGTGTCATTTGCTGTGTTGTTATTCTATTTTATTGAATATCTACATACATGATTATTATTTTTATTATTACTAGTTATTAATTATTAATGATTACTGTTACTGTCGTTATTAATGCTTTTCATTTGTGATACAACATTATTGGTGTTCTGAAATTGGTTTATATTGTGACACTGTTGCAAGAAATGACTACAACAGTTCTTTGTTTTTGCTTTTTCAGATTATCCATTTGGTTAATTTTCTGTAATTTTCAATTCATAATAGTGACAAAAAATTGTCTGTTTGTTTGCTAACTTAATTGTTCATTCATTCATCCATCTATCCATCCCACCCATTTGTTCCTTCTTCCGCTCTTTAGTTCGTCCACTTTTTTTTT